TTTTTGAATGCAACAAATGGATTAGTGACCCTGATGCCTTTTTGAATGCAACAAAAGGATCCGTGACCCTGATGCCTTTTTGAATGCAACAAATGGATTAGTGACCCTGATGCCTTTTTGAATGCATCAAATGGATTAGTGACCCTGATGCCTTTTTGAATGCATCAAATGGATTAATGACCCTGAAGCCTTTTTGAATGCAACAAATGGATTAGTGACCCTGAAGCCTTTTTGAATGCATCAAATGGATTAGTGACCCTGATGCCTTTTTGAATGCATCAAATGGATTAATGTCCCCGAAGCCTTTTTGAATGCAACAAATGGATTAGTGACCCTGAAGCCTTTTTGAATGCATCAAATGGATTAGTGACCCTGATGCCTTTTTGAATGCATCAAATGGATTAATGACCCAGGCCTTTTTGAATGCATCAATTGATTAATGACCTGAAGCGAATTTTGAATGCATCAAATGGAATAATACCTGAAGCCTTTTTGAATGAAGGCATCAAATGGATTAGTGACCCCAATGCCTTTTTGAATGCATCAAATGGATTAGTGACCCGGAAGCCTTTTTGAATGCATCAAATGGATTAGTGACCCTGAAGCCTTTTTGAATGCAACAAATGGATTAGTGACCCCAATGCCTTTTTAAATGCAACAAATGGATTAATGACCCAGAAGCCTTTTTGAATGCAACAAATGGATTAGTGACCCTGATGCCTTTTTTAATGCAACAAATGGATTAATGACCATGAAGCCTTTTTGAATGCATCAAATGGATTAATGACCCTGAAGCATTTTGAATGCATCAAATGGATTAACGACCCTGAAGCCTTTTTCAATGAATGCATCAAATGGATTAGTGACCCTGAAGCCTTTTTGAATGCAACAAATGGATTAATGTCCCCGAAGCCTTTTTGAATGCAACAAATGGATTAATGTCCCTGAAGCCTTTTTGAATGCATCAAATGGATTAGTGACCCTAAAGCCTTTTTGAATGCAACAAATGGATTAGTGACCCCAATGCCTTTTTCAATGCATCAAATGGATTAGTGACCCTGAAGCCTTTTTGAATGCATCAAATGGATTAGTGACCTTGATGCCTTTTTGAATGCATCAAATGGATTAGTCACCTTGATGCCTTTTTGAATGCAACAAATGGATTAGTGACCCTGATGCCTTTTTGAATGCATCAAATGGATTAATGACCCTGAAGCCTTCTTGAATGCAACAAATGGATTATTTACCCTTAAGCCTTTTTGAATGCATCAAATGGATTAGTGACCCTGAAGCCTTTTTAAATGCAACAAATGGAATATTTACCCTGAAGCCTTTTTGAATGCATCAAATGGATTAGTGACCCTGATGCCTTTTTGAATGCAACAAATGGATTAGTGAACCTGATGCCTTTTTGAATGCAACAAATGGATTAGTGACCCTGATGCCTTTTTGAATGCATCAAATGGATTAGTGACCCTGATGCCTTTTTGAATGCATCAAATGGATTAATGACCCTGAAGCCTTTTTGAATGCAACAAATGGATTAGTGACCCTGAAGCCTTTTTGAATGCATCAAATGGATTAGTGACCCTGATGCCTTTTTGAATGCATCAAATGGATTAATGACCCAGGCCTTTTTGAATGCATCAAATGGATTAATGACCCTGAAGCATTTTGAATGCATCAAATGGATAATGACCTTGAAGCCTTTTTGAATGAAGGCATCAAATGGATTAGTGACCCTGAAGCCTTTTTGAATGCATCAAATGGATTAGTGACCCTGAAGCCTTTTTGAATGCATCAAATGGATTAATGTCCCCGAAGCCTTTTTGAATGCATCAAATGGATTAGTGACCCTGAAGCCTTTTTGAATGCATCATATGGATTAGTGACCCTGAAGCCTTTTTGAATGCAACAAATGGATTAGTGACCCCAATGCCTTTTTAAATGCAACAAATGGATTAATGACCCTGAAGCCTTTTTGAATGCAACAAATGGATTAGTGACCCTGATGCCTTTTTGAATGCAACAAATGGATTAATGACCATGAAGCCTTTTTGAATGCATCAAATGGATTAATGACCCTGAAGCATTTTGAATGCATCAAATGGATTAACGACCCTGAAGCCTTTTTCAATGAATGCATCAAATGGATTAGTGACCCTGAAGCCTTTTTGAATGCAACAAATGGATTAATGTCCCCGAAGCCTTTTTGAATGCATCAAATGGATTAGTGACCCTAAAGCCTTTTTGAATGCAACAAATGGATTAGTGACCACAATGCCTTTTTAAATGCAACAAATGGATTCATGACCCTGAAGCCTTTTTGAATGCAACAAATGGATTAGTGACCCCAATGCCTTTTTGAATGCATCAAATGGATTAGTGACCCTGAAGCCTTTTTGAATGCATCAAATGGATTAGTGACCCTGAAGCCTTTTTGAATGCATCAAATGGATTAGTCACCTTGATGCCTTTTTGAATGCAACAAATGGATTAGTGACCCTGATGCCTTTTTGAATGCAACAAATGGATTAGTGACCCTGAAGCCTTTTTGAATGCAACAAATGGATTATTTACCCTTAAGCCTTTTTGAATGCATCAAATGGATTAGTGACCCTGATGCCTTTTTGAATGCATCAAATGGATTAGTGACCCTGAAGCCTTTTTGAATGCATCAAATGGATTAGTGACCCTGAAGCCTTTTTGAATGCATCAAATGGATTAGTCACCTTGATGCCTTTTTGAATGCAACAAATGGATTAGTGACCCTGAAGCCTTTTTGAATGCAACAAATGGATTATTTACCCTTAAGCCTTTTTGAATGCATCAAATGGATTAGTGACCCTGAAGCCTTTTTAAATGCAACAAATGGAATATTTACCCTGAAGCCTTTTTGAATGCATCAAATGGATTAGTGACCCTGATGCCTTTTTGAATGCAACAAATGGATTAGTGAACCTGATGCCTTTTTGAATGCATCAAATGGATTAGTGACCTGGATGCCTCTTTGAATGCAACAAATGGATTAGTGATCCTGAAGCCTTTTTGAATGCATCAAATGGATTAGTGATCCTGAAGCCTTTTTGAATGCATCAAATGGATTAGTGACCCTGAAGCCTTTTTGAATGCATCAAATGGATTAGTGATCCTGATGCCTTTTTGAATGCATCAAATGGATTAGTGAACCTGATGCCTTTTTGAATGCATCAAATGGATTAGTGACTTTGATGCCTTTTTGAATGCATCAAATGGATTAGTGATCTGATGCCTTTTTGATTGCATCAAATGGATCAGTGACCCTGATGCCTTTTTGAATGCAACAAATGAATTAGTGATCCTGATGCCTTTTTGGATGCATCAAATGGATTAGTGACCCTGAAGCCTTTTTGAATGCATCAAATGGATTAGTGACCCTGAAGCCTTTTTGAATACAACAAATGAATTAGTGACCCTGATTAATTCTACTTCAGTATTCTTTTGGAAAATATAATAAATATATTTTACTGTCATTCAATTGCCACCAATTTTGAGCAAATTCAGCATAACAATATGTGCTATTGCATCAATTTCTGTGATTTGCTCAAAGACAATGTGCATATCTATATTTATATTTATGTAATGCACATGATGTCATCAACATATCAAAACCTGATGCAAACATCTTTCATTACATTTACCAAGACAAATCTCCTTTTTTCTCAGCATGATATAGCCAATGTGCTAAAAGTGCCATTAAAACCAAAACAACATTTTGCTCACAAAATAAATCCAAACATTAAAATTCATTATGGTCACATATGCAAATATGTTGCGTGACAATAGTAACCCACTATAATACAGTGTAATAAGACCATTAACTAAGCTCTGTGAACATTTTATAGTGACAACTGTGCCAAATGTTCATAAAATTAATATGTACTTTTCTAAACCATAATGCCCTCAATAACATTCCCTAACAATGAACATGAGTACTAAATTAAGTTTCTAGACAAAGAGATTCCTCATACAGGAAGTCACACATTAGAAGCCATGATTCAACACCTTCATTGTCCTAGTCATACATACCAAATATACAATCCTTAGCTTGCTCTCTTTATCAATGTAGATGGAGTTCCAGTTACCAGGAACAGTCCAAAAATACTAATGGAACACTAAAACTAAACTATATGTATTATGTGAGATACAAATGTGGTCAAGTTTCCAATTTTTGGCCCCATTTAATCATACAAACGAGTAATGTATATTCTGTTAATTGGTGTAATACATTTTTACTTAACCAATATAATTCCTAACAATAACAAGATTGTTTCCAAGTCAAAATTAATAATAGATTTTTGTTTCACTTATACATCCATGGGGATCTGACAAGCAGGATCCCTGTCTGGCAATGAGCCTACATTTATCAGTGTTTTGTATTAGATAATACAGTCTATATCCTTAGATGATCAATATCAACATATGCAGTCTGGCCTTATCAGATGAAACTCTCCTTGAAAATTATATACTTAAAATACAAAACTTTTTTATGGCAATTATATAATCAAATATATATATATATATATATATATATATATATATATATATATATATATATATATAAAGAATACAAATCATATGGTGAATAACAACCCTTTTAAGCGTACTGGATCCACCAAGGGATCACATGTGTCAGGGATTGATTAAAAATAGATGCAATAAATTGACGACAAACAGTATGAAACTAGTAACTAACTAGCCTAAGCACTTTTGACTCTTAATGAGTCTTTTTCAAAGGCAAATACAAAACATATGTATGACAAACAAATAAACACAAAAACGTGTTTGTAAACCTCTACATGGCTATCTCCACATGTGTTAAAACTATAAATACAACCAGCTTGTATAGACTAGTTGAGGAAACTGAAAACGGTGTATAATACACATTATCCTGACACCAGGCCGACCGGTCTGAACACTAACCTCTTATTGCTGATCATGCGAGGCAGCTGTTAGTACCATTTTTGTATGACTCGGCCGGGGATCGAACCCACGACCTCCCACATCCGAGGCAGACGCTCTAACCACTCTGCCTAAACAACAGCAAAAGTATAAAGATAAACTGCCTAAACAAGGAAACACTTTAATTGTGTATGAACATCAATTCAGTATGGATGATATCAGGACTTGGAGGAAAATACTGATAAGTGAAATTAAACTTTGAATAAATATAGTTGTGTTTGAAACACTTCAAGCATGAATACAGAAGACACAGTAATTTCCATAATAATCAAAATGCTTTTAAACCATCAGAACTTGTTAATCATTGCAATAAAATATCATGATTTCTAATTAATATTAATAAATCCAATTATTAACCTTTGTTTAGTTTTTATGAAAGATGATCACAAATGACATACAAACTAAGTTAAGTTAAACAACCAATCAAAGTTTTGCTTCTAAATACACCCACTCAATGACTGATAAAAAAGGACACATTAACTCATGTATAAAATCTTGTATTATTGTGTGCTGTTGTTGATGTATTGTCATGTATATGTATGATATTCATCAAAATCATGGAAATCTTGCCCAAGGTGAAATAAAGACCATAGAGGATTTTAGTCCATGGCTAGTGGAAGAACTTGTAAATTCAAAAACTTTTCCATTTTTCAATAAGTTATTTGGTGATATTTTTATTTACTAATTTTCAGCACATATTTTTGGAAATTTGGAATCACTTAAGTTTTATGTGGATTATAATACAGCTTCAAACACATTTCATACTTCTTTCAGTTTTTAATAAGTGAAGCATTAGTTGGGTTTTAAAAAAAAAAGGAAATGTTTGTTCTCATAAGAGTAAGGATAATTCAGTTTTAAAACAGAAACAAGAACATCTTATTTATATGTGGCTAACATCTATCATAAGCTTTATTTTATTTTATTTTATATACATTTTGTCTATAATAACTGTTTTTAGTCATGCACCAGCATTTACTCTTTATTAAGTTTATTATTCAAAATATTTTTCAAAATGTTTTGTAATACCAAATACACATACACTGCCTCCCTCAAACAAAATCACAATTGTTTAGCAAAATCACTATCTGGCAACACAGACTGAAACAAGTGTCCTCTGATGATTAGTAATAATTGCTCATCTGTATCCATAATACTCCACCTTTCAACCTTTGAAATATACTGTTAAAGTATCCTTTGTAAATTTAGGGAGGGGGTATATTCAAACATCCCTTCCCAGTAACAAGTACCTTCTCCAGTATATTAGCCAAGTTCTTTAAAAAAAAAAAAAAACACTGAGTTTAAAGGAGGATACTAATGTAGCAGTTAGACAATTTCTGACCTCAGGACCAACTTTAAGGTAAATGTTACTTTCCATGAACTATTGTAAGATCCAAATAAACAAGTTACTTTCTCATACATAAAGAGCAGCATTGCAAAGTTATATGACAAATAATAGTAACAATGTTTGGGCCTATGGAAACTGGAATCTAGGCTTGTGGAATTAGAGTCAGGACATGTAATATTTTTAAAATCCACATCAATTGGCCTGAGTCTAAAGAAAACTTTTTTGAACACTGTAGTTCTTTTTGATTAACTATTTATACATATTTGTAATCATGATATAATCTACATTACTTTATCACTGATGATGAACTGAAGCATTAAAGTAACTGAAGCAACATATACATGTAACAAGTACACCTGTGAAAAGATGACACAATGCCAATGAATGCTGAAGTTGGAATATGTTTCTTTAAAAATTAAAAGAAAAACAAAGTTGGATGAAAGTGATTAGATAGCTTTGTTTCACTTATGAAACTTATCCATTTTTAACCAGTTTTGGCATACCTCTGCCACCATAACATTACAACTGAAGTACATGTCATTCAACCAGTGAAGACACTATACAATGCCATTCTGGAGTCAAAAGGTCGACCCATACAACATAAATATCTTGGCGGACAACACACATTTTGTGCCTGGAATGAATGTTAAATCAAACACACATATACACCCACCCCCAGCAAAATTACCCAAGGCTGGAAATAAACTTTGAACAACCCTTTATTTTAATATTATTGGTTATGTCTGTAATTAATACATCAATGTATCAAGACTAAATATTTATATATTTTATATCTGTACAAGTTCTACCACAACTGTCAATACAACAATAAAATGGGAGGATCCAGTAATCTGCTAAAACTCCCCATCGGATTCTCAGCAAATATCGCTATTCACTCATACAAAACATATAAATAACTTTCCAGATAATAAACACCAGTTTCCATTTGTACCAACTAATGTTAACGTAATTTTCACACGAAACATTCATGTAACACCGTATAGAATACGGGCACCTGTGGCCGAAATATTAGTGGAAACCACCGACTCACAATTCAAAAAAGAAAAGCTATCCCACCTGACAAATTAAGTCGTCTACATGCAGTGCACGTGTTCAAAATTCTTCATGACTGGCTCGAGATTTATGCATCGTTAAAAAAACACATACTTACGAGGACAATAAAAACACAGCTATTTACACAATTTCTGACTCGTACATTTCTCTGTCAGACATGATGGCCAGTGACGTCATTGATTGTCATGTGATCCATCACGAGAAATACTTCTTCAGTGTTATGTAAACGCTCACCTCCGATATACGGCACAACAAGCTCTTCGTTGTTAATGACCTTAATACCACCTCCAACATGTGATGTGATTATGATTTTTAACGTAGCTTTAACAATTTTTGAGCCATATCGCTACGATGTCTGCAGTGTGGTAGTTTATAGTGATGTCTAGCACAGGGGCATCATGCCGCAGACGTGTTAGCATGATGAGGGGCATCATGCCGCAGACGAGTTAGCATGATGCCCCACCCAGTCACATTATCCTGACACCAGGCTGACCAGTCCTAACAATGTGCTGAAATGCTAAATGCAGAGCGTCAAGCGAGGCAGCTGTTAGTACCATTTATATAAGTCTTTGGTATGACTTTACCGGGGATAGAATCCAACACCTCCCGCATCCGAGGCGGACGCTCTAACCACTAGGTCATCAAAGCCGTTTTAGCAACATGTCACTTTGGCTACGAAAAATTTTATTTTGTCAAAAAAGACGAGCCCCTGTTACAAGTAAGAATAAAGTTTAATAAAATCTCAAACAAAACAAATTCCACGAATAAACAATACATAAATGACCGTTCGAGATATACAATTCATTCTTTACTTGTTACTAACTATAGAAGTTCAAAATACAAAGACCTTGAAAGAATTTCAAAATATAATAATTAAGAATTTCAAAATACAGTGACATTAATAAACTAGCCGATGCTGTTTAAGACCAAATCATCATACGAGTCTGTAATCGAATAATTCTGCCTTTTGCAATAAAAGCATAACCTTTTTGATTTGGATATCCCCCACAGGTCCTCTCAGACTGTACTTCGGTTCCGTTGTTCAGTACGTCTTCCGTTCCACTTTCTTTCGTCCCCCCACCCCAATTCGAGATACTTTTGACTTCGTTCCAACTGCTCTTTCATTTCCACGCTGTTTTTCCTTATCACAGTTTTTCCTCCCCACGCTGTTTGGGTTGTACTTTTCTCAGACTTTCTCTCCTTATGAAAATAAAACAAACAGCCTAAATCTTCCGTCACATTAACGGAAATACATAATTAGACTGACCCCCTCCAGGTCAGATATTAGCTATATCAACTTTCAACAGTCTACGCGGCTTGTTCCTAGACTAATGAACTGTGAATGCCATTTACACCACAGGTGGCATTGGCCCATTTCACACGACCTCAATATACGTAAATGAAATTCCACACTACACAACAAGGTAGTCCGAGTTTCCTCTTACCCTTATATTTATGATAGTTGGGGGGGGGTATGTTGGGGTGTAGGGTCAGTCTATTTCCTGTCAAAAACTTGGGATTTGCCGACACAGCTTTTTTGTACAGAAGCCCGGTCGCAGAACACTTCTCCTCCCCTGGCCACACTTTCAGTGATATAATACTTATCGCTATTGCCAACAACCACAGCTGGAGTTCCGAAACCAGGAAGGAAAAGGAATCATACTGGATACGCCGCCTTAGAACATTGAAACCAAGCGGTCTAAACCAAGAAGACTAGAAAATGAAAACTATGCACTAGTAGAATTTAACATTTTCTAAATCTTCTTATCCTTCAATTTTTACTATAAGAATAACCGGTATAGAACCAAATATCCGGGATATAATCTGCGTTACATATGTACACAAAGTAAAAATAGATGTCGCTTTGGCTTGTAGACTTTTAGGGAATTATACAACGTTTTCAGTTTCCGCAACTAGTCTATACAAGCTGGTTGTATTTATAGTTTTAGCACATGTGAAGATAGAAATGTAGAGGTTTACAAACGCAACGTTTTTGTGTTTATTTGTTTGTCGTAACTATGTTTTGTATTTGCCTTTGAAAAAGACTCATTAAGAGTCGAAAGCGCTTAGGCTAGTTAGTTACTAGTTTCGTACTGTTCGTCGTCAGTTTATTGCATCTATTTTAATTAATCCCTGACAAACGTGATCCCTTGGTGGATCCAGTACGCTTGAGAGGGTTGTTATTCGCCATATGATTTGTATTCTTTATATATATATATATATATATATATATATATATATATATATATATATATATATATATATATATATATATATATATATATATATATGACATGAATGAGTGGACATAAAAGTTAAAGAGTAATAGGTTTTTAGAAAGATTGACATAATAAAAGAGAGAGAGATGTTTCCAAAAGGCTAGTGACAAACTTTCCCATTTTTATTTCTTCACTACCAAATTTTAGTAATGTTCTTAAGACATACAAAACACCTCCATCCTAGTAACCTGACAATGAAGGTTGTATGAAAACTATGCACGACTCCAGCCCAGTAACGTGTAAATGTCTTGCTCCCGTCAAATGTATTTATCTGGCGTATTTCCGCTTGTGACAACTCAATGCCTTTAAACGCCTCTACATCTTGCTCCCTAAAACAATGTCATATTTGTCGATCCATAGCAAAGTTGTGTTTATAGAAAGATTTTTGCACGTCGCACCACCTACACTAGTAACGTGTAAATGTCGTGCTCTCAGGTATAATGCGTGAGATGTTTCGCAATTAAACCATTCTAATCTCTTTTCTTTGATGAAAGGGGAGTTCCACAGATATCACTTGTCATTATGTTAATTCATTTGTAAAAACGAGTTGCTAGTGGGTTCTTTACTAAAAAAAAAAATAACGCAGATGTGGCAAACTGTACTCTTTCATCACTGTGCGACATTCATATTAGGCCACGAATAATAGACTTTTTAGTCATGGCCTAATTTCTTAACGAATTAAAAATCAGAACTCTTTTATTTACTTATTTATAAAGAAAAAATATCTGTGAAAATAAATTAATAACCCAAAAAGGGAATAAGGAATGAAAACAAAATTATAAAATAATAATAAGCTATGGATCATTCCTGTGTTTCCTTTGAATACTCTTGGTCCAGAAAATGTGTGAAAAAAACAAATTTACTAAAAGCTCAACGTTTTGCCACAAAGAAAATTAAAACCACACTACTCGTCCAGATTGGGATCATACCGGTAATTTTGTTTTTTTCCTTTTTCTGATTATCTAAGAAGCATAGACATAAAAACGCAGGGGGGAACCAGTCCATAAATTGTGTGGTATGCCTGCATTATCTATCAAAAGAAGAAGGCAACACAAATAGTAATCTCGCACCAATCTAATAAATCACTAACAAAATAACGTTAAATAATGAGATTACTTATGCAGCTTCTATGAAACTCATTTCAGACGGGTCTAGGGATCTGCGAGACATGGAAGTATCGCCTGTGAACACCATATGGCTTTGCCACATGGCTCTACACGAAATAGACAGCCCTATGGAGAAGCCCGAAAAAACTGAGCTAGCATACTATGAGCCAACAAACCAACAGATACACGCCGACAAAATATATCAACACAAGTAATAATAAATATTCCCTACTATTTAACTACCCACACGCACAAAAAACACGAACAACTCTGTATACCAAGTATGCAAGGTTACCTAATTATATTTTACTTATTATTTCATTTTCCCTTGTTTTGGGGTTCTTTTGTTGCTTGTTTATGTTTTCTTTGTTTGTTTTTCATGCTTACAGTCAAAGTTGTTAGCACAAAAGAAACGGGTGGAGTCGAGCAAAAGGAGAAGTAAAGATGGATATTTCTATTTCCTTCGTAAGACAAAAATTATTCACACTCATTTTCAGGTGAAGCTGCAGAAAGGGTGAACTGACCACTTGGCTGAATTCTCTTTGTTTGAAAAATGGAGTTTTCTATGATAGCGAAAATATAAGGTCAATAACGCTAAACCGTAGCCTCTAACAACCGACTGAGATTTTCTCTATTTTTGTTTGCTCATTCCGTTACCTTATCTTTGCCGCGCGTGTTTTTATTTTTTTATGGCGTGTTCGTTTACTCTTCGGTCACTCAATTTTTGTCGTTCACCCTTTCTGCTGCTGTAATTAAAGCATTACTATATCAGTCTCTCAACCAAACATTTTATCGAGACCTATACGATTTCGTGACCAAGGCTCACGTAAATTTATCGTTATAAATCAGTGTGGGGTAGCTTGCACTTTTGAAAAGAAATTTTAAAACTTAATTATATCCATATCCTCTGAACACCAAGTATAATGAATATTTTGCAAAGTAGAATTATCTAATCCATTAAACACAACTAAAATATTACAATTGTCTCTGATCACTTTAGGTATATGCGTATATCGCTGAGTAACATATATTACATCTGTGTTTTTATGTCTGCCTCTGGCAAATATCTGAGTTTAATTTGATTCTTTGTCCAGCAGATTAATGTATCGTATACCACGAGATTATTAATTAGTCAATCAAGTTCATCTACAGATGGGGCCTCATCTATATCGGTGATAAAATTAACAACAACCGTCATCGTCTTCATCTAACGACTTTGTTTTCATTAAAATCTTTAAGTACTTCAAACCATCTCTGATCATCTGCGGATGGTGCCACTAAATATAACCTATCCCACCTGAGCAATCTCATTATCAGATTAAGCAATAATTGTGTCTTACCAGACCCAGATGGACCTATTATTATCATCCTGACAGAATTTGGTAGCGCTGGATGATGCTTTAATGGTTCTTGTTTTCCCGTCGCTGATAAACCAATGATATCAATGTTGTACAAATGTAATAATTATATGAATTTATATTGTTTTCGAAGCAGAACACCCACTCCACCTGTGGATTAACAACAATAATAGCAAAAAATGAAAAGTGTGCACTTGCAGGCAAGTGTGTGAAATGAACAAAAAAAAATTATCTCCGACAAATCAACGAAGAGATATCGCTGCTTCATTAGGATAATTACCAGGAGCTTCATGGGATAAATACCCAGGAGAAAAACAAATAACTGTATATATTTAGTGTGATCCTGGAACCAGATTTGATATCAGACTTGACGAATGAGATCAACCAAAACCTGGAGGGTATCCAATAAATACGATTGATCAAGCATACCATTTCCATGATGAAGCGTATAAAAATAAGGAATTACAACAACGACATATTACAGATGTAAAGTTGATTCACTCCTTAAATTCCTTAAAAATAAATCTCTCAGAGAGAAACTTATTAGCTTCCCAGTAAAATTTGCGACGAAAGGTAAACTAGTATTAAGGACTAGTAATTAATCATCGATAACTATTATAATGGAATCGGTTGATTCTAGCCCAAGAGAATATTGGAGGGATAGAGCAGCGATTGCTGATGCTGCAAATGTCCCACGTTGTGCTGCTGAAAATTGGTTAGCACGACAGTCATTATAACAGATATATCTACCACCACCTAAAACATTCAGTACGCACATTTTGATGTCAGTATTCCCAATGAAGATATCAAGCAGATCAGAGGCGTAGCTAGGGTGGGGCAGGGGGTACATATGTCCCCTGGCGCCAAGGTACAGGGCGCCAAAATGAGGCTTACAACGTTACATTA